GAAGTGGTTAATGGCCTATGCTCCAACCGGAGCTAAGGGAGAATCATCAATCAGGTGAAGTGAAGAGTTCCCTACACTACCTTCTCACTGGAGAGTTTTGCTTCCCGATCACGGATGGTTGTAAGGTCTTTTTGTGCCACCTGTAGCCGAGTTTCAATGGTCCTCTTTTCTTCTTCAATTGTTTTGAGTTTTACCTGGAGTGTTATTAAGAAGAATTCAGAGTATATCAAAAATCATGGCTTCAAAAGAATTTTACAATTAAGTAAAGAATTGAAACACCATAATTGAAACTGTTTTAGTAGTATTGTTATCTTTTCACATATTCTTCAATATTTTAACAACTTTACTACTGGTGAACAGTAATATTATTTGGAACTTTATATGTGCATAAATTTCTCAAATTTATTTGAAGGCTTGGGTAAATATAATTGTTCATTCTGACAGCAAGATTTTCTTGAACACTAACTTTTAAATGGTTATTCGTTTTAATGAATAACCATTTAAAAGTGCCGAATTTTAAAAATTCGTAATGCACACTATTAAACTTTTCATTGATTCTTACATATTAAAAGGAGTGTTCCCCACGAGTCAATTCACTGACAAACCTCTTTGCCTTGAAGGGGGGAAATCCCAAAGGAAATTCCTGGCCCCTAGCTCCTGAGAAACTGTGAGAGCCCTGAATGATTTAAGGCTTGCCATGGGAAAATACAAGTTTGCTTTGGGAGCAAGACTTTTTCTGGACAATAATCTCCCTGCCATTCTTCTTTAAACTTCAAAACACACTAAACTTAATTTTTAATTGTTCCCCAACAACTGAAAATAGTGTTAAACAATCCAAAATTGAATAGGGTGTAATAGATTAAAATTCATTTAAATCATAAAGTTACATCTGACAAACCTCTGTCTCTTGGAGCTTTTGCTTAGTGCCAGATAGTTCTGTTTTGAGTTTCTTGATTGAAGCTTCTTGAGATGCTTTTGTCTTACTAATTTCTTCCTTTTCTTTATCAACTTCCTCTTCCAGTGACCGTACCTGTGTATCAAATAAAGGTACATGTAACATTGAAGTCTAACTTAAGAACAGGTCTTACCATATTAAAAGGACAGAGTTACCACAAAATTGTACCACAAACACAACATCACCTATACTTACTAGATAACTTTCACAGTCTGGTTGGACTAGAAAGATCTCATTTACACTTTTATTATAAAATGTAAAGAATCTTACATTTATGCTGTATATCAACACCATATCTCATATAAATTAATGTTCTAACAATAGGAATATTAAAACAATTTTTTAAGTACAAGCTGTTGGTAACAATTCACTTTTTCTGTGGTTAAAATATTGAACTATCATGATTTCATCCTTTTCAACAGTACTGTGGGAATCAGTACAAGTGAACCCTTGCAAATTTTGAGTATTGTGGTAGGGTACTAGGAATGTTTCATGAGCATATCATGGAGTAAACAACCAAACTAGCATTTGTTTGCTTTAAATTTGCTCCATTTGTGCAAAGAAATCCCAGTGTGATACAGCTAAAATGAGTCAAAGAATGTCTACAGAGCAGATCCTTCTTGAAAGATTTTTATGAGGATTTGCAACTTTATTGACAAATAATCAAAGGAAAGAGATAGGTGAATTTGGACCATGGTGGTGATTTAGTAGAGAAGGGGAAAGTCACTGGAAATTATTAACATTCTTGGAAGGAAAATTCACAAAATTTCAGAAATATGACATTTGCTTGACATTTTGATTTGTGGTTTGTAAGAGTTTCAGGTATTTGTTTAAGAGCCATCACATTTGTGGCTTGTACTAAGGATAATAAAGGTTTTCTCAGAAACTTGTTACTTTAAAAGGGTAATTCACAAAAAGACACAATGTATTACAGTTCATTCAGGCAACTGCCTATTAAAAGTAATTTTTTTTGGTTTTTACTTACTGTGGCTTGTAGAGATGTTTTCTCAAGTTCAATGGATTTCATTTTCCCTTTCAGCTCCTCAACTTCTGCCATTACTCTATCAGTCTTGCCTGCATGAGCAGTAGTTTTTTCCTTCTCTTGGTCTCTTTCCTCCAGCAATTTCAATTTTTCTCCTAAATATAGTTTGAACAATACATAAGCATGAAATTAATATTATTGTTTTGAATTAATAAAACGGTAAACAGATAATAAAAAAAATATTTAAAAACTTCTTTCTACAAGCAGTACTGGTCCACTAAAATAATATTCATTTTTTCATCACAAATGGAAGTGAAAAAAAAAATTCTGGTTGCACACCTACATGTAACAAGGGCTAACCAAGGTATACTCAATCACATTTTAAGAAATTTTTATAATCATGGTTACATGAGAAGAAGGAACAATCTCAATTTGGGAAATTTCAGTACAAACAGAAAAGAACATTAAATTCTGTTGTAATGAATAATAAATGAACTTGCCCCTACACATTATTGTGTTTTGTAAGAACAAACCTTGATGTCTGTTAATTAGTTCTTTCAAGTCCTCACTATGCTGTTTTTCAACTTTATCCAGCTGGGCTCTCAAGCTATCATTCTCATCCGTAACTTTTTTTACTTCTTGTTCATGAATCTTCCTTTCTTCCTGTTTCACTTGCTTCATCATTTCACGCATTCTATTCATCTCCTCTTCCATGTCTTTCCTCTCTTCCTCCATAATTTTCATTAGCCGCTTATCTGACTGCTCTGAGTTTGAATTATTCTTGAGTGTTTCATTATCAAGTTCAAGCCTTTTCACTTTCTCTGACAGTGAAGCTCTTTCCTTTATCAAGTAATTCACCTGTTCCTTAACTGGATTAGTGTCTCTTCCAATTTGCGTCAAGCCAGACTCAGTTAACAAGTCACATATATCCTCTGAGACATAAGCTCCTGCCTCTTTTTCAACTTTCATTTGCTCAAGTTCTGCCTTAAGCTGCTCGTTTTCAGTCTCCAGTTCTTGAGTCAATGCTTCTCTTTCATCTGACAGTTGTCTTATGTGTGCAACATAGTTCTCCACCTCAATCATTTCTTCTCCATGCTGTTTACGCAGCTGCTCAACACTCTCCAGAGAGGATTTAAGACTGGTTTCAGATCGAAGAAACTGTCTCCAAAAATAGCGAAGTTTGTGCTCAACTGGAAGATTTGTTCTGTAGCCATCTTTCTGGAGTCTGTCATCAATGTCTCCCAGTTCCCCTGCATCCTGAGTAATACAAGGAGGCAAAAATTTATACAGAGCTTGCAGAAATAGCAACAATAGCCAATTGCTATTGACCACACAACTATTGTATTAATCTTAAAACAATTTACAATACTCTACCAAGGTCCTAAAATCTGGAACTCTCTCCCAATATCAATCACTGGTGTCATTAACTTTTTTACTTTTAAAAGAAAGATGATTGATTTTTTGATAAAATGAGTCTGAATTGGGCAAGCTGCACATCCACATCCACAACTTAATTACAAACATAATGACAACCAAGGTGGCCTCCCCTGTAAGCCTGATGGTTCCTTGAAGGTCTCCTCACCCTACCATACTGTCAAACCTGTATAAATATTATTTTTTAACTGGCTAATAAATAAATGATGATGATCATGAATAAGGTATCAATATTTTCAGAGCCACAGTTTGTTCTGTTTTGCAAAAGTGTTAAATACTTCTCTTGATAATCAATTTGAAATGTCTATTAGCAGGGCTCAAAACAAGTTTTAAAGGAAAAGACAATCTCTAAGAAATAATACGAAGCCAAGTTATCAAGGACACCATGTTGTTTTCTCAGATTACACATAATACAAGGAACCATCCACTTAACCCTTTGACTTGTAAGAGTAATAAGCATCCGTTTTTCCGCTTACAATGTCCCCTGAATCAAACATGAAGGTCACAAGAATAAAGGAATGATCACCGAGAAGAGGGTCTTGATTGTTGAACAAATTCTCCTTGTCAGCACCTTATGACATGTGTAGAGAACAGTATGGAGAATATACAAACTGATGTTAGGATGTAAAGGGATTATGTCCCTGATATTCCAGCAAGGTTGCACCGACCTTCCAGCAAATTCTGAATGTGGAACTGATTCATCTATACCTCGTTAGTTTAGTGTTTAATTTGACTAACACCTGAAAATACCGACTGTATACATTTGTTCAAAAGTGTTTCAAAACTTGCACCATTTTTCATCAACATTTTTAATAAATTCAGGTGAAAGCAGGTAGCTTAGCATTTAATTTGACTAACACCTGAAAATACAACTGTACA